ATTAAAATAGCAATTTTGTTCCATCCAATAGAAATATTTTGTTCCATTAACCCACATATATCTCAATTATACTTTCACTTGTTAAATAAGTGAACTCTTCTTTCTGTGTGTATTATTGTTTAGGTGCATTGTCGATGATGAAAGGTCTCCCCTTTTATATTTCTATTGTTATAATTGCCCAACAATCAAAAAGTATAATTGAGATATATCTAAGTTTTCTTTTACGGCGAGGGAATATGCCTATAGCTGACCACCCAATCAAATTGAATTGAACCGATAAAAAATGATTCATCATGCGTGGGTTGACTTTCAATAAAGTTTAATCATTTTGGGTGGTGTAATACTAAATTCAAGCATGTCAATTCAGTTGGGTCGATTGCATGTAGCTGAACCGAACCGTATACAACCATAGTTAAAACAAAGTATTCATACATAAAGGGGTTTTCCTATCAACACGTCTATATGCATCAAATCCGAAAAATGGACTGTCTAAATAAGTTATAAGATGGTTTTATTAATGATGAAGGATACAACAAAAACATATGGAACTCCATTGCACAACTTAGACCATTGTTCGATCACTTGAAATATGTGGAAAGACTTACCATAAACAAAACAATGAAAAACATATTTGTAGAAATAAAAACAAAATAGACAATAAAACAGCTAAGATGAGTGAACAAGTCAATGAAACCACATCTTAACATGGTACTTTGTTAATGATTCTTACAATGCACCATTTCAAAAAAATCAACAAAATATTATCTCGATTGCTAAATATCAATATTAAATGGATAAAAATCTCATAAACTAGTTTGGAAAACCACTACGATATTATAGGAAGATAGCTCATTTGATGAATGTTTGATCAACAATGAAAAGCATCTGCATAGTCATATGGGATTGGGATCTAGAAACATATAGTAAGGAATCAATGTCACTTTGGACTAGGGTGTGGTGCATTCCAACCCACAACATTTTGGTGTGGTTGGACTAGTGATAAATATTCCATTCCAAAACTAGCCTTAGTCACTATGGAAAATGCCACAAAATAAAAAATAACGTGTTTCCAATATGCACTATAGCCATAGTACAAAATGTCGGATTGGATGGCCTTACTCAAGAGGGGGTAAATTAGGTATAGCCAAAAATTTATCCCCCAAAACTATATAATTGGGATTTAAATGGCTTTTATAAAAGCTTTGAAGTCATATGAGGGCCATGTACCCCCGCCCTTGGAGGGGTGTTTAGAGGAGTGGGGTTAAAATTATCAAAGCAATAATGAAAATAAAATAGCTTCATGCCACCTCTACAATCAAAGCTAGGGTGAGGCAAATATAATTGAATGGGGATGTTATTCCTTTGTTTCCATGAATTGGAAATGAGATAGACACACTTCTACATTAATGTGGGAATGACCTATGGCTTTATTGAATATTAATTTTGGGCCTATTTTTGTCATCAAATAATGGAAGAAGGCTATACCGTATGTTGTTTAGCCCAATTAGTTTCAAAGTTTGAAAACAAAGGGTATAACTAGTTTATCAATGAAGGGTTTATCTTGATATAAGGGACAATCTCTATTTGAACATTATTTTTTTTATACACTTAAAGGATATGCAACGTGGTTACCTTCATCATGAGTGTGGCATACATAACTTGAAATCCTCCTTCTCTTGCTAGTTTTCTACATCCTCTAATATGATTTGACATCTCTATGTTGTTAATGAGTTTCTTTGGAGGACTTCAACAGTTTTTCTGAAGCATTACAAAGGCATCATTGTCCATCAATGATGTGTAGCAAGGCCCGTGCAAAGGTATTTACTGGTATGTATTTTGTAAAGGGAGGTGCCAAATAATCATTCAAGAATAAACACAAGATAAAAGGTGTTAACATTTCACGTATTAAATGAAACAATGGAGAATAAGATAAGTAATAATTAGTGGATTGGACTAATTGGCCATAGTGCTGCTCCATCCAAGATTGGGCATAAACCCACAATTTATACATTTTTTTTAGAATTGCAATTGGACTTGATTGATCACATGAATAAAACATTAAGTTATTGATGAATATGGGTGTTTAGGGTCCAATTTAGTACGGTTTAGAGAAGTTTCCAAACCAAACCAATAAATTACAGCTTGAGACGTTCACAAACCTAACTAAACCATTTTCTCATCGAACCAAACTATACCAATCCATTTTATTATGGTTTGGTGCAGCTTTTAACACAAATTGGGGAACTTTGGATCATTATTCGATTCTACTGTGCTTAACCCAATTACAAAGTTAAACTCAGACTTCTTCCTAAAACTTGAGGCCCCTTTATGGGAACTTGAGTGCTCTTGGACTAGGGACACCTACATGGTCTGAACAATAACATGTTCCTCGTTGTTAGACCTAGAACTCCACATAATTGGAGGAATGAACAATGGGTGAGATAAAGAGGACTCACTCAAAGAAAGCTATAGGACCACATTGACCTAACCGAACTCTTCAACCGCACTTCAAGCTCACTGACCTCTCTATATGGAACACTTATGCAAATGACAGGTGAAAATGAATCTCACTGTTCAACTCGCAAAAGTCTCGGATCATCAATGATTAAGATCGATGAAATCCGACGGTTGCAAAAGACAAAACGATTTGTTTCTCGATGCCCAAATTCAATTTAGCACCTTTTTTTTGCGTCCACGATAGTTAAATCCCATTTGAAGTTCATGCCTACGCGCCTCGTGACATGTCAGACGGTTATGAACTACCATGAATCTATGACATTATGAGAATTCAATTCCGGAGCATCTAACAGTGACCGCCTTCAACCAAACTACTTTATTTGCTCGACCTGTTCACCTTAAGCTAAAAATTTTGGGAGGGGGTGGATTGATGAGGGATGATTTACACCTCCAATAATGACTTGCTACATGGCATCCCATAATCGTTTTTTGACATATTGACAACACATGTGATGGAATCTCACTTTGTATACTCCTTGATAGGTCGGGATATGCCACCCGAACAAACTCCAACCTCACTTAAGAGTATATCGATAGATTGGCCTATAATTTGAGGGACGATTCCAAGCTTAGCATGCATCTGACCTACATGGCACATATTTCATTTTATCCATTTGCACCATATAGCAGCCTTCAAACGTGCATAGACGCAACACCCACTTGGTAGCGATAAGCCCAGTTTACTTTGCTTTGCATGGACTGATAAGAATGATTGTGTGCCATGCAGATGTATCCCATAAGCAACGAACGGATGGGTATCAACATCCCGAATGTGTCAAACACGCTACAACAGAGCCTCGAGGTCTATATAAAGGTGACCCTTCACCCTTTGATTTCTCCTCACTTGTTCTTTATCACCTTGTTAACTCGTCACTCACTTGATTGTTGGATTTTCTTGCCCGAGACATCCCTCGGGACCTCTATTGCTATTTGTCTTGCATATTCTGCATTTGACCAGTTATACTCACCGAGTTCCAAGTTGTCACTACTAGCCTCGGCGAATTCTAGCCATTATTAGATTAGGTTTGATTTTGCGGCTTAAAGTAAGCAATGAACATCGCTATTGATAGATACACTCATGACTCATTGCTCATTTGCATACTTGTATGTTGTGTGTACTAGTAAGGGTGAATAAATTTGTATGTTGTATGTTATATGTAGTTTCAATTGGTTATTGGGTAGGCGTGGTTCCAACTTATTGGAATTGACCCCACCAATGTTGGGATAGACCGTACCCAAATCAATTTGAATAAGTGGCATTATGATTTTATTTTTGATGTATTTTGAAATGAGTATATGGATTTCAATGATGGATTATGTATTAATTATATTGTATTGTTTGAGTTGATTGGTTATTGGGCTCGCTTATAAAATATCAGGTTCGAGTTCAATTCGAATTAAAGACTTGAGCTTGAGCTCGAGTTCGGCTCGAGTCAAAAGCTCAAAAGTTCGAGCTCGACTATCTTTGATTGTAAGTCTCTTAAGCAGCCGAGGTCTCCCTCAATTGCCGATGTGCCAAATCGAGGTCTCCCTCAGCTGCTGAAGTGTCGAGTTGAGGTTTCCCTAGTAGGCGAGGTGTCGAGCTAAGGTTTTCCTTAGTTGACAAGGTGCCGAGATAAGGTCTCCCTCAGTTGTCGAGGTGCTGAGCTGAGATCTCCCTCAAGGTGTTGGGTCGAGGTCTCTCTCAGTGGTCAAGGTATCGTCTAGTTTGAGTTCAATTCAAATTAGAGACTTGAGCTCGAGCTTAGAAGTTCGAGCTCGAATCGGTTCGAACTCGACTACCTTTAATTGCAAGTCTCCTAGCAACCGAGGTGCGGTCTCCCTCAGTTGGAGAGATAGTGGCCTTCTTGTAATTTGTAAGAAAAGAGAGATAACATTCTTGTAATTTGTAAGAAAGAGAGAGAGAGAGTTGGTATGAAAGAGTGGCATTCTTGTAACTTGAAAGAAAAAAAAGCAATAGAGAGAAAGAATTGCTAGGAAAGAGTGGTATTCATATAATTTGAAAGAAAAAAATAAGCTAAAGAGAGAGAGTTGGTATAGTTATATGAAAAAAAGGCAAAGAATAATGTTAGATTCCATTTCCCTCATACTTATGCCTTCTTACCTAAAATATTTATATAGATTTTATATTAAAATTTTGATTAATTTATAATATATTAATTTAATATAATAAAATATATAAATATAAAAATGTATACTAGATTTATATATATATATATAACGGCTTCTATGTTTCATATTTTATTAATTTATAAGATATAGAATATATATTTATTTATTTTTCTTGTTTTTTAAATTGAACGGAGTCGGTTCAAATCTGATTCAATTTCCAATTCGAAATTCCGAATCTGACCGGAACCCGACCCGACTACAACTTCGTAAATTCGGTGCCGAGCCGGAGTCCATTCAACCCAAGCCAACCCAACTCACGGTTAAAAGGAAGCCGACACAGCGAACCGTGGGTCAGGAGTCAAGAGAAAAAAAGCAAAATTACACACAAATCATACTTTCTCCCTCTTCTCTTCTCTCTCTCTGACGCAATCTCTCTTTCTTCCTCTCGCACACATTACCCATCTCTGTTTTTCTTCCCTTTGCTTCTTGCTCACCGTCTCGCATCGCTACCCAATCTTCACCACGGAAATGCAGAACCCTTGCCTTCCAACGCCGCCCGCCACCCACCAGATTTTGCCGTTGTAGCCGCTCCCGCCGCCGGGGTTCCTCTTATCCGGTGCTCGTAACGGCGTTAATCTGATAACGGATTCGAAAGTCGATTTAGGTTCCGATTGCAGGGTTGGTTGGGTTTTGTTGTTTACTCGATAATCTTCGACGACGAGGTCGTCTTTAGGGTTCCTGTCGCCATGGCTCCTGGGCGTAAAAAGGGAGCGAACCGGGCGAAGGCCAATCAGTTGAGTTTGGGGGATCTGGTCCTCGCCAAGGTTAAAGGATTCCCTGCTTGGCCTGCTAAGGTGTGTCAAATTATTATTGTTATTCTTTATTTCCTGGATTCCATTTTGATTGGTAAGTGCTGTATTTTTATCGATGGTTATTCTCCATGCTTTGTTTGGTGAGGTTGGTTTGGTTAATTCCGTGTTTTTGGTTTTTCATTTTCCCTTTTGTTTCCATCATTAATGCTCTTTTGATTGATGTCGTTCATTTATCCTGTTAAATATGTGTTACACTTATTGAGTTCAAATGCAAAAAAATAGGGTTTTAATCACGGATTGAATATGGGTTTATGCCCTGTTTGTGTGGATTGTTTTTTATCATTTATCCTATAAATTTTGTTTCACTTATTGAGCTATTTTATTCAGTTTAAATTTTTATTTTTATTTTTTTGGTTTTCATATTGGTCGAAATGCTACTTCTGTGTTGGTATTTTATCGAGATGTTTCTTCTTTGCGCATCACGTGTCACTCTTTTCTCTGCTCTGTTGTGCTAAATAGGGTTTTGATAACAGGTTGAATGCCGGTTTCATCAAAATATTAACTTCATTTTTTTTTATTTAAGTATGGATTGCATGGTTTTGGTTCTGACTTTGCAGATTAGCCGGCCAGAAGATTGGGAACGGACTCCGGATCCTAAGAAATACTTTGTTCAGTTTTTTGGGACTGCTGAAATGTAAGTAGTCCTATTATCTATTCAAATATTTGTTTGTATGTAATTTATGATCTAGGCATTTTTTTTGATACAGTAAACTTAAAAAATTGATCATGGCATTTTAATTGCTAAAGGTGAAATTGTTTAGTGTAAGAAGACACAATCTTAAGTTAGAGTAAGATGGCCAACTACGTCTGGAAGCCAGTTAGAAAGCAAAACTGTTAGTTTTCAATTTAAGGGTAAAATCCCTAGTCCAGGGTCAATGCTTGGTATTTCAAATGTTTTGAAAAAAAAAGTTAATTTCTTAGGATTGAGTTGGCCAGAAATTTATGAATGCTTTTCTCTGATAATATCAGCAAATTTGTGATGTACTGTTTTTAGTAATTTCTGATGTCTTTACATTAAGTTAGTTTTAACAGGATTGGGAAAGTATTGTTTTTTTCTTTTGGTATTTAGGATCGGGAAAATATTGTTAGATTTGTTTTAAGAGTTAGAGTCCTTATTTGAGTGTCCTGTGTGTTATCTATGGATTTGTTGTCTTAGTTTTAAAGCAATTAGATGTTGTTCTGGGTCAGTTTCTTGGTCCAAATCAGTGTCCATAAGGGGACATCTGAGTTCATATGTTGAATCTATAAATAGAGTTCTTATAATTGCAATTAATGAAGAGTTGATTCGGTGAAATGAAGTTTGGTTTAATGAATGCTGGGTGTTGTCAGGTAATTTGTTTTCTTTGTTTCCCCCTCCCCCTCTCTCTCTCCCCTATTTCTTCTTATAAGCTATCTGTCTATTTGCTGTTTACCATAACGACAAGAGTCCATGTTCACCTCTCTCTTTCTAATCTTTTACTTATTATTTGGTGGACAGCAAACTATCTACCCACTGTGCTATTCTTATTATTCATCATAGATCACACAAAGCCCTTCTTTACCCCCTACAAAGCCCGCCATCGGATTTGAAATAGATAGGAACCCTACCTCATTCTGCACCACTCCTTCTATAAATTATAAGAATATTAATAAATTGGTGTGGCTTAGTGTCTTAGTGATAAAAAACATGACAGGTACAACCTACAATATGGTAAATTACCTATTCAACATCAACTCAGCGTTAATTCTTCAAAACCAGCAGAGAGCTAGTTGAGGCACATCCGGCAAAATGAGCCTCTTCTATAAGCCCATGCGTTCTTGAGGTGAACCTTTTATAGAACCAGGGATGACACCCCAAAATGGTTTTGATCTTTGAAGCACCTCATGGGTTGATATGTGCTTATTTTTTTGTTAAAATATTTCCCAACTGCAAGCCATATTTTTCAGCCAGGTGGGACCTTGTAGTGGTAGCACTGATTTTTGCTTTTACTGGAAACCCAAGTGAGGATTGCAGAAGAAATCAAGGTTTTGAAAGAAACACAAGAAACACAACAAAGGGAAAAATAATCCCAGTTTCTTTATTGGACCCCTCTAAATGCAGGAAACCTTTTCCAAATAATTAAGAAGGACAGTCAAATGGTTTGTTTCCTTGTAATGAAGTTCTTTGCTGAAGCCAAAATTAAGATGTACCTGGCAAAGATCATGAGACAAAGGAAGTGGGTACAGATCTGCACAAAAATTTGGAAAATTTTCATTTGCTAGTTTGCATTTTTAATGAAGTCTTATCACACTAGAGGTCTTCTTGAAACTTGATTTAATCACCTTGGAAATGGTCATACATGATGAAATGACTGAAACCAGGATGGATGAATACAACAGATATCACAAACTCTGCTTCTTCCATGCAAAATCAATTGATACCATTTTGTCTCTTTTCCACATCCACATGATTTTGAATTTCTGATTTATTTTGTAACCTTGGTTTTCAAAAGGTTTTTGGTTTTTGAATGCAAAAAATTCTCTTCTTCCTATTAACAGTCTTGAAGACCTTTCTGATGTTTGGTCTTTGGATGACTGGGAACCTTAAACTTCAGGTTGATTTATTGGCTAGATGGTATATGCAGGCTTTAAGCAAAAGAGGCATAGTGGTATGAAATATGACATTACTAGAGGCTTTTTTTTTTTAAGTTTATGATGAGATGGAAATGCTTGAATCTTTGAGGATGGCAATAAAAGTAGTTTGAAGGATGTTAGCTGGTAGGGTCAACTGGTCAAGGGCTTGATGCGTTTGTGGATCTTAGTACATAAGAAAAGGATGTTAGCTGGTAGGGTCAACCGATCAAGGGCCTGATGCGTTTGTGGCTCTTTTTTTTTCGATGAATAGATGTGTTTGTGGCTCTTGGTACATAAAAACTTCAGAAGCATAGATTATATATATATATATTTGATATAAGAGCTTCCTTGGCTAACTTACCTACCTATTATTTGTCTGTCTTTAGGATACCGGTTAGAGAAGCTAGGAAGTTGGAGAAGTTGATGAGAGACTTCTTATGGGAGCCGGGACAAGAGAAAAAGGATCACTTGGTTAATTGGGAAATTGTGTGCARAAGTAAAGAAGAGGGGGGTTTGGGAATTGGGAGGGTAATTAGAAAGAATCAAGCTTTGTTAGGGAAATGGTTGTGGAG